TTTTTTTTTCCCGGTCGCCGCAACGCGCTGCGCCGCTCCGTGGCTGGGGGGGAAAAAAAAACAGCCCCATGGTTGGGCCACGGCCGAGATGTCTCGGCCACACCCCAGACTGGCCACGGCCGAGATGTCTCGGCCTCACCCCAGATTGGCCAGGGCCGAGATGTCTCGGCCACAGCCCAGATTCGCAGGCACTACCCTTCACAGGCAAACGCGAAGTCTCAAGAGTAGCCTACTCCTAAGAAGTGGGGCAGGCCCTCACTTCATCAGTGTTTTGAGGGCAGGGATGGAGGCGAAAAAAAGAAAAAAGAAAAAGAAGACATAAAAAAGTAAGGAAACGAGGAACTGCGAATCCACCTACGTCCGGCAGGCCCTCACCTCATCAGTGCTTTGAGGAATGTATCTGGCCATGAAGTGAGGAACATGAAACAGGTCGTTTTCCTTTTTTGTTTCTTGTTGTCAGGTCCTTGTAACGCCCTGCCAGCCAGGCAGGGCCGATTCCACGCGAGGCAGCTAACTGCCTGGCTTCATTTAGCATCCTGTATCGGACCCCAATCACAGCATAAGGGATGTTTTTTTTTTTGTTTTTTTTTTTTTAATCTGCTGTTCGTGGATACACGAGGGCCCTGAGTGAACTGCTGCCTAAAGGCAGCCCGAGTTTCAACTGCAATTGAAACTCGGGCCCTGACTAAAATGCTAAAAAGCAGTTTGAAATGCAATTACAAACTGTTTTTCGTGACTGCGCCGAAGTTACCCCCCCCCCCCAAAAAAAAAAGGATTCCAATCAACACAATGGTAGTGTGAATATGCTCCAGCTATATTCATGGTGCTCAAAGTGTCTAGGAACAACCCACCATAGTCCCTTTTTTTTCTTTTTTTTTTTTCCCAATAAATATTCAGACTGGGACTTCCTCAATTGAATTTGTTTTGGCTGAAATGTGGGCTCCGATGACACCAAGGGAATACTCACTCTAGGACTTAAGCACATGTACCTGTCAGTGATTGCAATTACAGCCACGCCAGGATGAATGTGACCAGAATTACGTCCACAGCTCCGCGGAAAAAGTCCTGATGAGAGTAGTATGCTCCCAGATCATACTCGCAATAGGACTTTCATGCGTGTATCTGACCTCAATTACGGCAAGATCTGGATGTCTGTGACGCAAACTAGGTCCAGAAATGAGTCCAAAATGTGCACTTGTCAGTCTGGCCCCAGGAACGTACATCAACTGTGGGGATGCTTGAGGGAACTTTTTTTTTTTTTTTTTTTTTTTTTTTTTTTTTTTTTTTTATTTTTTTTTTTTATTTTTTTTTTTTCCGGGGGGAGGCTCCATCTATTGGTGGGGAGCTGGACCTGCTGGAAAACGGGTCCAGCGTCCCTTATACAGTGGTACATCTGTGAAGTATTCTGGATGTTTGTCGGGAAAGAGCCTGCCAGCTTGAGGGAACATACACCAAATTGAATTGTGAATTTGTGAGTATGCCCTTGGAGGCTTGGACATCAATAGCAGAAAAGGAGTTCTGAAACGCATCTCCACAAAGATAGCGACTTTGATTCATGCAATCTACTTAAAGAATCTTAAGATCAGAATGATCTGATTTTACATCCCTTAAACCACCAGTACTAAGTCTTGGGCCCGCTATTTATTTATGGTCCGGGGCATTGATGCGCCGTGACCTTGGCGCTCAGCCTCCAGAGCAAAGTGGCTGGCGTTGCCAGCCAAAAAGAGGTCCCCATGGGTTCGTTTTCGTTGTGGTGCACAGCACTTTTCCAGCCCCGGAGAAAAGTGCCTCAGAAGTACTGTTGGTTTAAACCACCGGACAGTACTTCCGAAAGTCAAGGCCGTATACGAGCTGCGATGAATCAGATGCGCTGTGCCTAGTAACGGGTGCGGTGGATTCGGTCCAAATCCATTTCAAGTGGAAACGTCGCGGCTCTATTTTTCGTGGAGGCTGATGGATGGGCGAAGTACTGATGGTTAAAACCACCAGTCCCCCAGGGAGTCTTAGGCCCCCTCTGGGGAGGCTCTGATGCAAATGCAGATGGACCCACCGCGTTAACGGCCTAAAAACGGGGAGGTACTGGTGGTTTAAACCGCCAGTACACAGGCCCAGCCTTGAAGAAAGTTTTTGTCGCCACAAGCAAAACTCGGATGTGCCGCGCTGCATGGGGCCCCATTGAAAATAATAATCTGTGGCCTCGGAAGCCGGAAGTGGTGCGGGTTCCACGCTGACACCCGCGGGCCTGTGTACGGGGTACTGGTGCTTTAAACCACCAGTACTTCCTCGAGTGACACCCGCGGGCCTGTGTATGGGGTACTGGTGCTTTAAACCACCAGTACTTCCTCGAGTCGTGCCCGTCAACGCGCCACGATTTTAGGAAACGTACGGGCTACTACAGGAGCGCCCAGATTCATCCGACTAGAAACGTTTCTACTCGGTTTTTTTTTCCGCGGCTGATATCTGGGCCAAGTACTGGTGGTTTAAGCAGCAAAATGGCAGCAGATCTGCGGTCAGGTCCCAGTTACGTAGATTATTCACAGTTGACCACTGATCATTAAGATCTACGGTGAGAAATGAGTGATCCGCGGAAGTGGGGCCTGGCTGTTGAACGTACAAATATCGATGAATCGATGATCCATTACGAACGCTTTTCGGGGCAGGGGGAGAGGGTGGTGTGGGTGGGATCCTCATTAAGTCATGCAGGTCTATCCTCAGGATCTTCCCAGCATTTAGACGGTCACCTTGGTGATGTCATCATAGTATATAATATCATCTGACAGCAAAATTCACAGGAAAGCAGATCTTACGATGTGCATTAATTCGGGGGAGACTTGGAGTCCCTCTACGACCCGTAGGTGCACAGTGGGATCCATTCCATGCGCAAGAATCCAGCCATCGTACCTACCTACCACTTTTCATATTATGTTGCCATCATTATTTTTGTTGCCGTCCTTTTCCTATTAGGCTCACTTTTTTGGGGGGAAACTATGCGGGAGTAGCAAAAATGAGTTATGATTGCACTATGGGCCAAGATACAGTTTCAAATTGCAGTTCGGGCAATGTATACAACCCAGCTTTCTGCCCAGGTAGGGCGCCTGAAGTGCAATTGCAAACTGTATCTTGCCCCATAGTGCAATTACAACTCGTTTGTGCAACTCTGCTCAAGTTACCCCTTTTTTTTTCTTTTTTCTTTTTTCAATTCTTGGGCTGATGTGATAATAAGAAAGACTCAGTACAAATTGTATATGATTATAATAGACCTAATTTACAACCATGCAGTCACTGTCATCAGCTGTTGATTTTTATTATGTTCATTAACAATATCAGCCTTGGGCACTGGGTCCGTTATTTAAAAAAAAAAAAAAAAAAAAAAAAAAAAAAACAATGCAGTCACTGTCATTATTGATTTCTTGGAGTAACGGACCGAGGTACTAATCCCAGGGACTGGGACTGGTACCCGAGCTGATTTTGTAGTTGTGTGCTTTGGTTTGGAACGCGACACTGTGTTGGATACCGACTTAAATACAGTAGTACTGTGAAGGTCAATCTCTTTTCAGGACTAACGGTACCTCCTGCTATTCCGGGATAGTAGGGGTAACGGAAGTGGGCGTGATGAACGTAGGGATAGTTCGTGGATGTTTGGTGGCGAACCCCCTGAGGAGGCAACGGCAGTTGCCGAAACGCAGCGTCGGGGACGCTGATCCTGAAYGGTGTTCTTGTTATATTTCTAARCSATTCTATTGATTGAGTTTGGCTTTATGTGTACTTGACGCGACAACTGTCGCATACGGCTTGCTGAGTACTTCTCTCTCGCTTTCACTTTTCTATACTACCTACTGCGCACGTGAACAGTCTTGGAAGGAAATTACTGAGATTTGTGAGCGTGTTCCTACTTTCCAACATACGTTGTTTGCACGATACGTGAAGGAGTTGATTCGTGAAGACGAGTGACCACTGGGAGTACGACAGAAGGGACCGGCGTTCAAATAGCCAGGATCGTGGGAATTATCATGGCTCGGACTGTGGACAAGACTCAGGCGGGGACAAGCACTATCGCCGCTCTCCGCCAAGATGCTTTGCATGCAATGAACGTGGTCATTATGCTAACCAGTGCAAGAACCGATGTCGGTCGAGCGATGACCGGCCATCTACCTCCTCCGAGACTCGGGGTGGAAGATCGACATCACCGAGAGGCGACCCCAAGGAGCCCTCTATCAAGGAGGTGGATAAGCTCCACCTTCAAATTGAGGAACTCAACCGCAGTCTAGCTTCTGTCTCGGAGTTCGTCCAAAGTGAGAAGGCTAAGAAGGATGCTAAAGAACAAGCAAAGCGCGACGCTGAAGAAGAGGAACAGCATAAGCCGGCTGAGAGAAAAGCATGGGAGAAGGAGCGTAAGAGGTTGGAGAAACTACAGAAGGAGAAAGAGAGGGATGCCGAGTTTGAAAAGAAGATGGAGATGCAGCTAGCAATGAAGACTGGCGACTTTTTTGATCGCTTGGAAGCTAACCTCGGACCAGTCCTTAATGTCCTGAAACAGACACGAGGAAAGAAGCAAGCGGTCTGTATATCGGACCCTGGGTCGGAGTCGGGACCGGGGAGCTATGGAAGCGATACTGAAGAAATCCGCTCTCAAACGCAGAAGTTGACGATCCATGAGAAGCGTAATAGGGGACCGGAGCCCGTACTTGAGGACAGCCCACCGATGTTGACGCCAGCAAAGAGGACACCACGTGGAACGAAGGAAAAAGGAGCGGCGGCTACTACACGGGTTACGCGATCGAAGGCAAAGATGAAGACGAATCTTTCTCCTTACATGGCGAAGATGAAGAAGACCCCGGGACAACCGGGCACTGTCGCGAACTTGCGCTACCACAACCAAGCTATGGAAGAACTCCGGAATTTAGGCGCACAGGAGTTGCAGGCGATATGCAAGGACGAAGGCATTGCGTACAACGGCAAGATCGATGGGATATTTGATATCGCAAGTCATCGGACTAGGAAGAACTTTGGGGAGGTTGAACCGGTCGACATGTCGGGAGTTTTTGAAGCCGAGGAAGAAACATCGGTGACTGGTGATGACGGAGGCCAGGACGAAGAGGCTTGATGTGGTTTCGGAACTGATGAGATATGGCGCTTAGTACACGAGCTGACTAGATTACGGGGTAAGGACTGTAGCGTGGTTAGTGAGGTGGAAGAACTGCTACAATTGTGTATAGTTGTCCTTTCATTTCGTGGAGTAATCAAGTGGACGAGGAAGTTTCTGACCTACTGGAAGAAGCTCATCGCTGAATTTGGTGTTAACTTCGCAAGTGTTAAGAACTGTGTTTATGTGGCTTTGTCACCTTTCTGCAAACACCAATACGTGGGGAAGACGAATCGGGACGTCAACGTTAGGTGGAGAGAGCATCTTGCGGCGTGTCGAAATAGGAAGCATACTCACTTCTATCGCTGGCTCGACTGCTTTGGTCACAGTAACTATGTTTTGATGCCTATTGACCGGTTGGAGGGCAACGAGTTAGTTACGTGGAAGGTGTGTATATCCGGCGTTGGTCCCCGTTCTTGTACACGAGTGGGTGTAGCAAGTGTGGTCATGGCCACAAGAAACCGCGGAGTGGGAGAAATGGGAGAAGGAAGAGTGAAGGGAAACGCTGTACCAACCTGTCTATTGTACCGATCAAAGTACGTGATGCGAATAGCACTGTCTGGAGAGTGGAACTAGCAGGGCTCCTTCTAGAAAAAGAGAAGCAAGGCGTGCGGAAGTTCTCGATAGTATCGAGTGGAGGAAACGCTTGGACGATTGGATGGAAGAAGATCCGTAAGCGCTTTGGTGAGTCAACTGTTCGGATTGATGGTAAGGAGGAGCGTTTAAAAACCTGCAAGAGGGTGTTTGAGGAGGGTGGAAAGATTGACTTCGAATATCTCAGAGTTTGGAAGTCGAAGTGCATTTTCATTAAGCAGGTTCTCGTCGATATCTTGAAGGACCCGTGTAGGTTATCCACTGTCCGCAAGTGGGGTCTGAGATCTACTATTAGGCTGTATGGAGCCATCAAGGACTTCAGTAAGAAGTCGATTCGTAAGTATCTTAGACGGCTGATATCTCGTGTGATCCGTGAAAGGTTTGACTTGAGTATGTCTGCTGACCTTATTATTCGGGTCAAGTATGACGAATGTGTTCGCTTGAATTAACTTTGTAACCTCGTGAATGATGGAATGATGGATTGTGTGTTGCCGGACTGTTTTCGGAAGCGTGCCAGGAAGAAGATTCGAGTCGTTTGGACTAAAAACCAATCGATCGGCGATATTCTTCATAATCAGCGATCGTTCGCTGCTTGTCAGTTTTCGACCTGCGCATGCGCAGGGATGTCCTATCCAAGATCGGAAGGACATGTATGCTTCCGCCTTAAAGACGGGGAACCACACCACCAAATTTTATCTAATGCTAATGATGTTCCACGGGATTTAGCCCGTAATCGCGTTGACCGCCTGCAGAGGGAAATCGTAGAAGGATTTGCTAGTTGGAAGAATTTGAAGGGACAGACTCCGGTGTTTTTGAGGGAGAAGGTAGCAAGGTGTGTTGATGATTGAACTATAGGAGTGACTGTCACGAAGCTATGTTTGGATGATGTTTTGAAGGTGAAGAAAGAGTTGGAGGGAATCGTTCTTACCCTCTCGATCGGAACCCCTGAGATACCCTGGTTATGTGTCCGCGGGTGTATCATGCCGCCATGATGAGTACTTTTGTTACCAGTGTTGGCTACAGGATCGTGCAGGATCCACCTGAGAAGATCATCGATGGTATCAAGCAGGAGATGGTGGCGAGTGGCTTGAAGGAGGTGGTCCAGTAGGACCCGAAAGGGAAGTTTGGTGTGTCGTATGTATTACCTAAGCATAAAGACATAAGTCGATACCGACCGATCTGCCCGACTTTCAACGAACCGATGGTTCGCACGGGCAGACTGGTCGGCGGTCGCAAAGGCCCTCAACCACCTCCTGTTTCACTTACCAATCGACTGGCATTTTAACCTGCAGGCCGTCTCTCATCTCACAGTACGGTTGCAACGGATCAACCGATTGATCATGACGAAGGGTGGTACACTGGAGGTGGAGTCGGCTTCCTTTGACATCAAAGAGATGTTCAGCCGGCTCCCTCATGAGGACATCATGGATGCGGTTCATTGGATTGTCATGCACTACCAGGGAAAGGGCATGAGTTCAGTCCGGGTAAACACAAGGGGGAAAGTGGTGACATTCAGGAAGACGACCGGCACCGCTCACTGGAGATGCTTGGAGTTGACTGATGTAGTGAAGTTTGTCTGCCTGAAACTTCACCACACGTACACATTTGCAACAAGTGTGCTGCTGAGACAGGTGGTGGGAATACCGATGGGGAAGAGCACGAGCCCCCCATTGGCTTGTATCATGTGTGCTATGGAGGAGTTGAAGTTTATTAGTAGCCTGGGCAGACTCATAAGGCATGTCTTTGGTATTCGGTTGATTGACGACGTCATGCTTGTAACAGCTTCGTTACCTGCAGACGACCGAAAGGAGATTTTGAGTCGATTTGAGAGCTGCTACCCGCAGAACTTGTTGCTCAAAAGAACAGATGACGGATCAGGTGTCTTGCAATTCCTCGGTTGTGAAGTCCGTACTTCTCAGACTTTCCCTTATTTGGGATGTGTTCAGTTGGTCAAGAATGAGGATGGTCAAGAATGAGGAGACCGTTTGGAAAGGGGAGAAGCTGACTTTCCAAAATGGGCAGTCTTTCTCATCATGGGGGAGTAAACAGCTTAAGAATGCGATCATCAGTGGACATCTCCACCGTTTTGAACACAACACTACAATCCGTGAGGAGATCCCTTTGAGAGTGCTCACTGTGAAAAGGGAACTGCGGATGAAAGGTTACCCACGTGAAAACTTTGAAAGAGTTTTGAGAAGGTTTGCATTAGGGAAAGATAAGTTTTGGAGGAGGGCATTGAACCTGATTTGTAGTGAGGAATGGAGTTAGGCTCCGAGGAAGAAGCAGGTTCTGCTTAAGTATGTAGTGTGTTCTTAGATCTGTGGACAGGGTTTGCCGATTAGTCTGTGGTTTCCTCTGGATTGGGGCTCAGATGAAGGAACAGAAGTGTGTTCTGATGCTTGTTGAGTTTGCAGTTTGTAGGATTTGCCTCAATCCGTGGACATCTCCACCTGAGTAGGATGGGGTGCTCTTCCTAGATTGGGTTTAGGAGTATGGTCTGTTGACTGTCAGGATTTCTTTTTTAGTTGTTGTGTAGATAGTCGAGTTTGCAGTGGTGTTTCCTTTGGGTTGTTTGCTTCGGTCTCCTGATTTGATTCCTGACGGACCAGGATCATGCGGTAGGCCTTGTTTTCCTTTTCGTTTTTCAGGCGTGATTTCTTGGAGTAACGGACCACGGTACTAATCCCAGGGACTGGGACTGGTACCCGAGCTGATTTTGTAGTTGTGTGCTTTGGTTTGGAACGTGACACTGTTTTGGATACCGACTTAAATACAGTAGTACCGTGAAGGTCGATCTCTTTTCAGGACTAACGGTACCTCCTGCTATTCCGGGATAGTAGGGGTAACGGAAGTGGGCGTGATGAACGTAGGGATAGTTCGTGGATGTTTGGTGGCGAACCCCCTGAGGAGGCAACGGCAGTTGCCGAAACGCAGCGTCGCGGACGCTGATCCTGAACGGTGTTCTTGTTATATTTCTAAACCATTCTATTGATTGAGTTTGGCTTTATGTGTACTTGACGCGACGACTGTCGCGTACGGCTTGCTGAGTACTTCTCTCTCGCTTTCACTTTTCTATACTACTTCTACACTGTCATTAGCTGTTGATTTTTATTATGTTCAGTAACTATTATCCAATATTAAGTTTATTTCTTTGGATGGGGGGACGAAAGGAGTCTTTCCTCCTTGCGAGTCCATAACTCCCCCCATTTTTTGTCAATTCTCCTAGCCACCCCCCATTCCCTCAGCCATACCACATTGTCTACCACTCAGGACTATCACCCTTTCAGTATTTCTGGTTTGATGACCTGACCAGACAGTGGTTACAGGCACCTGCACTGAGCAGGTTGTCCCACTTGCCCCTGCTTGAAGCACGTTCAAACGAGCCGTCTACTTTTGGATGCTAGGAGTGAACCCTTTTTCTACAGGTCCCTCGACCAGACCCCAGATGCTACCCAAGATTCTGTTACCAGGCCCCTCTATATATCTGAATGTTCTTCCAAAGCTACAACAGACATTGTCTAGCTAAGGTCCCCAGGTTGGGTGAGCCTCAGGTGAAATGGCCAAGGGCGGAAGGGTCAAAGGCGCCTTTCAAGAAGGACTTCGAGCGCTTTTTTCGGGACTGGTTCACACCTCAGACAGGAGCCTCTCTCAGATCTCCACAATTCTTCACTGATCCATTCCCTCCTTCTGAGCTTGCCTTGGTGGACTAAGTCTTGCAATGGTTTGGGATTGGGATGAGAGGCGGTTGACATGACAGTCACTCATGTATCATTATAGGGGAGGGATTGCTAGTTTCGAAACACATGCCTGGTGGTGCGTAAGGGGTGTGAAGAGGTTTTCCTTCCCTTACTCGCTATTTCATGTTGCATTTCTGAATTGTTTCTACTGGGCACTGGATCCTCTTTCCAGCAGGTGTCACTCCCCACCACTAGATTGGAGTCACTGGTGGTACAGTACGAGTGTGTAGTCATATCAGCACTCCTAGTTGTTTCCACTGGTTTCAGTTCTAAGGTCTGACCTAAGTCAGCACAAGAAGTACCTGAGTACAACCTTGCCAAGTAGGCCGCTTGGCATCCTTGCCAAGTAGGGGCTTGGCATCCTTGCCAAGTAGGCCGCATAGGGCCTTGTATACTATCGGGGTCCCTGAATTCCTGTGATTTTGCTTCTGTAGGTCCTCTCGTAGTTCTTACACCTACCACATTGTGCCTTTGGGTGGTAAAGGGACATTTTTGTCCAGGACATGACTTAGACCAGGTACGTTTTTGAAGGTTTCTTAGTATTTTTTGGATTCGCTCGACGGCACCACTTACCGTTGTTTCGAACCAGGAGAAGGCTTCTTCGGCACCCTGTTTCGGGGATTGCCGGTTTTCGTTTCAACTTACAGTGTATCGGTCCTACCTCCCCGGC